AGCGGGAGAGAAGAGAGAGAGAGAGAGAGAGAGAGAGAGAGAGAGAGAGAGAGAGAGAACCACAGAGTACTGGGATTACCAGTTATCTCAAACACTGGTTATAGAGCAATCAATCAGGGGTCTAACCTCTCTGGGCCGTACGATCAAAGAAACAGGGAACTCCTGACGGAAGACATAATCCTCGTGGAATCTCACTCGTTTCCGAGCCTTCAGGTACATGATTAGTTATGGAACACTCACTCACTCACTCGATACAACACTCTCGTGCAATGTACGAATACGCAAGATGAAGAACCGAGTCTGGGGGATAACGGCAAGAGCATGATCTATCTCTCTTTCCGTGGACCCAAATAGAGACATGAACAGACTGTTTTTTTAGCCCTAAGAATAAAAGCACCAAATAAAATGGGAAAACATTAATAACAAAAAAAACAACTGTTTTTTTAGCTCTAAGAATAAAAGCACCAAATACAATGGGAAAACAGTAATAACAAAACAAACAAAAAAACCCACCACCAACAACAACAAAAGACCCAAAGATAATACATTATTTAAAAAATAGCTGTAAATTGATATCCAAAAAGCGAATAGCACAAAATTTTCAATAGATAATAAAATAAAGAAGAAGAAAGGAATATTGAAACTGAAAAAGAGTAAATGAAAAAAAAAATGAAATCCCGAAGAAAAAAAAATCGATCACACGTCCCAGAAGCGATAAATCACATAATTCGTAAAGCACATATTCACAACAGCGAAACAGTGGTAGGCTCCTTGATTCTAAAAAAACTAACAGCTGCTTCTATCTCACTCGTCCAGTTGCCACCAAAGACATTAACTGTTATGCTCTTCGCGAAACAATGAATTCGATAAGTATAGGGGGACAAAGAGTAAGTCTTCATGTGTACGGTGTCCTCAAAGCGTTATCAGCGCATCCGAAGTGGCGGGACTTCCTTGCGCGTTCCTAATCAGGGACAACAGTACATACAACATGGCTCTTATAAAGAAGTCGAACACAAAGAGGGCTCGATAGGTCCTTAGTGCATGATTGAGAGCAGGCGACAACGCATCTGTTGTGTCTTTGTTGCTGCTGTTTCTGTTGCCGAGAGATAGTTTAAGGGGAAACGGCAGGGTAATGGGGATAGGTACGGTATAGAATGGATTCACGCTGCTTTTACTAGCCTACTGAAGTTACGTTTATTTTTTATGTGCAGATCGTCATTGATTTGGTTGTGTTAGAACATATGTATCTGCTTATGTGTTAGCGTTAATCAAAAGAGAGTGTATACGTGTGTGCAAGTTCATTCTTTGATTTTAGATTAAGGTAATGCAATGCATCCACAGCTGTTATTTTACGTGACTGGGCGAATAAAAATGATCTTCATTATTATCATTAATATAATCTTATTATAATGGAGCTAAGCCCGTTTGTGGGGTCAGTAGAAACTTTTTACACAGGTGCCCATAAAATCTACAAAAATATTATTCAGACAAGATTGTCCCAAAGGTTTACGTAGGCATATTTTCAAAGTTCGGAAACTACCCTTTGATTTCTCAGGTTTGATGGTTTTTCCTGTAAACCGAAGCTCTCATATATTTTCACTCTGCCATTAGCCATTTCATATTTTACTAGGGACTACTTCCGTTTAATATTGTGCTTCTTCGTGCGTGTGAGACAGCTGCTTCTTCTACTTCCAGAACTAGAATCTCTATATCCAACTCTGTTTGGATGTGTGCTTGACAGTGTCGATGGATTCCTCAGGCCAAGCTTCATTTTATTGACTTTTTCTAGATGCATTTGGTATCGTCATGTTCCCAACACGTTGAGTTCGTTTAGACCCGCAAAATGTTTACTTCGTTGAATTGACGTTTTCAAAATTTTGGAGCGTATTTGGTGCGTAGTTTTTTTAGAGCAAGACGAGATCTAGACCTCTCTATATCCTAGATGTATAATTTGGAGTACAGAATTCAAGACTGATTTGGAGTAGATTGCAAGACAGAAGTGCCGTTTGGGCTTTGTGACTGAAGGGTCATGGGTTTGAACCCTGCCATGGGGCGGACATTTTGTCCTTGATAGAGGTATGTTGTATGACCTTTCCTCACTTCATCGAAGGGGGAATGGGTACCCGGCTGTAGGTGGGAAAGATGTCTTGTAATAATAATAATAACAACAACAACAACAACAACAACAACAACAATAATAATAACATTATTAACAACATCACTTTTACTATTTGAATCGGGAACTCTAAACTTAACGCCCGTCTCCAACAGGACCGCGCTAAGTTAGTAAGGGGAGCTTCTTAGAAACTCTCAAGACCGTTTCAGAAAACTTCGTTTGGGATTCGATCTTGGGTAATCTGCATTGTAATTCAGAATAAAAACAACTGAAATAATGGTGCACATGACAACAGAAATGTCACCAAGAGAAAAAAAAAAGCCGCTAGGATAACAGTTAATTTGCAACAAATAAAGAATAGCAGACTCCTTCTTTCCTTTCGAACATCTATCGTCCTTATCTCCCCTTCTTCTTTTTTATGTTTGTTACTCTCTTGTAACACCTCTAATCTTCTGGCGCTCATATGACCTTATGCAGTTGCGAGCACCGTAAAACCTCTACTAAACTAAAGACTTCAAAAGACCATTAACTGAAAAAAGGGTTTTAAAAAAGAACTTGTTTAAAAGGGGCGAAACAAAAACAAAAATGATTTTAAGGCAATGGCAATCGTGATGTAAACACGGCATGAAGTGGTAGATTGTCCTTCAAGACGACTCGGATCAAAAGAATTTAAAAATAAATAGATTACACAACAGAAGAG